ACCTTTGTCTCTATTTTCGCCCGCCTACATATATGGGATATTTTAAAAAGCGAACATCTTTATTAGTAGCGAGGTCTGAATAAAGAATAAAAAACGTGATTTCACTTCTTTTGTGACCAACAACAAGAATAATTTTTTAATGAGGAGATAATTTAGCCTATCTTTTTCTTTCATCTCAGGCGATCGGGAGCAGTAGTAGCACATGAACAATAGAGCTACATTTAGGTAGGTATAATACTTCTCTTAGAACAAACTGATTACACACTCAAGGATCTAGTTGTTAATACAAGTAATAAAATTGTCTCAGTAGTAAAAACTCATCTAACGACAAAGTAAATTTGGTGACACAATATTAACAAAATGATGATGTACAATCATGGAGTCCTCTTCATATAATTGCATTTACCACCACTAAGCAATAGTTAACTCCATCCCTAAGGCTTGAAGCTAAGCAACCTCAATAGGAACTTGAAGTTGGAATTATATTTGATTCTACTTGACCTAAATCACATAAAATGTTTTATGTTATATATTTATAATCTTACTTTATATTTATTATTGAAAGATTATACTTAAATATTGTTTTAAACTATATGTTATTTTAATCAATATTTGAAACTATTTACTTAAATAGTAACAATTTATTTGAATATTTACATAAATTTTAAAAAAAATTTGAAGAAAAACAAATAAATAAAGTGAATAAACAAGTAAAAAGTTTTACTCTTGAGAGCAAAATTTGATATAATTTAGCTGTTAATAACGGGAAGCCAACAAAGAAAAAGATTACCATACTAATTACACAATCATTTTTCTCCTATGGTCAAATTAGTTACAGTATATAAATTAATTATATCTATAGGTATAAAAAGATATTCAGATAAGGATCATACTCAAATTCGTAAAATGACATTAATAAGTGCCAATAGAGAAACTTTGGACGATTTCAAATCCTACATACTTCCAATTCTCAACCTCTCAGCTACATTTGCCATAACACAACAAAATTTTGCTTCCGATACTAAAGAACTAACCACTCCGGCTATGATCTTAAACTCTTCAAGGAATTCTTGCTGCAACATCAATGAAGAAAAGTTCTCATCTATGACAATTCCTAGACATTTGACAACATCTTCGAGTTTCGGCACCCAATCACAAATCCTCAAGCCAAACATTGACGCAGCCTTAGGACAAGGACCAGCTTGAGGAAATTTCTCGTATTTCTTCAACCATTTACCCAAATACCGAATCAGATTCATCATCTCCTTGCCATTCAACTTACTGATGGCAGAAGATAACACTACTTCATCAGCATTCACAGATGATAATAGATAATGCAGGCAAAGCTCAGAAGTTGAAAATTTATCATGGGCAATCATTAGCAATATTGCAGCCTCCTTCGCCATTGAGGACTTCTTCCATGGCAAACTCTTGTCACTTGCCTTCTCAATGGCTAACAATGCCTGACTACCCCACTCTTCCCTCACCTTAACCATTGAGCTAAAAGCATCTGCTGGTGGGCAAAGAAAATACTTCAATATGCTAAGTAACTCGGATGACCCAAGATCAGAAGCATGCTTGATGCAATGGCAAAGCAAATCGGATCTCCTCTTATTCACAAGAGATTTAACCAAATTCGGATAGCATGAATGCTCAACAAGTCCATTAACGATCAATATCTCCAACAGTTCCAAAATCTCCAAATTAACACAAGCTTGCAAAACCAAACCAGCAACATCCCTACTTATCAAAAATCCAATCTTCTCAACAAGAACACGAGTGTATCCACCATCTGACGGATCAATCCCAATTGAAATCCCAACTTTCTTCCCAATTTTCTCAAGAAAGGGGTTGAAAATACTAATAAACTCATCCTTATTGAAGCTGTTGGTGTCCTTAAGCTTTTTCTTTAGCTTAGTAAAGAATCTTTTGCTGGAATCAATGAGTTCAGCATCAGTTTTTGAGACCTCCCATCCAGTAACAGGGTTAACAATAAAACTGGGATTTGGGTTTTCAAGCTTTGGCTTCAAGTTGACGAAAATATCATCTGGGTTGAGAATAATTGGGTAGTCTGACTGAGAATTGAGTGACTCTCGATTCACCGAAGCATTTGTGATCACTTCAAGCAAACTCATGGCGATGGCTATGAAAACAAAATCTACAAATCTGTACAAACATTAAAAAAAATCAACATAATAGAGGCAATCCCTTTTTGGTTAAATTTACAACATTCATCTCCATAGTTCAAGAACAAAAAATGAAACAAAAATGAATATAATATTTATGGCATGTAATATTGGTTAAAGTTAATTTTTTACAACAAAAAATTTAAGCCAGGAAGAAATATAAAATAAAAGTAGAATCTGGCACCCTCAACCGAATATGGTACTAGTGAAGTCACCACTTTTAGGAGATTAATTACTTAGTTGGTTCTAAATCAGTCAAAAAAAAAAAGACAAAAACTGAGTTATCCAACCGCCTATTGGTTTTGAACTGAATCAACCTATTATGTATAATACTGACTGACTAAACTGACCAGTTAACTCTGTCAATGGCCGATTTAACCGAAAAAGAGGACAAAAGTTTAAGGTTCTTCTACTTCTCTAAACCAAATTCATCATCTGTGTATCTATAACCTACATAGCAGCGCAACTAATTGCTACTACTTCCATGTTAGTAATTTCCTCATACATACTCAATGCCATATTCTATATTACTTAATTTTTTTAAGAACAAAAAAACAAAAAATAGAAGACATAGGTAATATATATATACAGCTAATAAAAACCAACGCATAATGTAAATTCCCGATTTTCTCTACCCAAAACCCCCGAGTATATAACTAAAATTTAAAAAAAACTAACTTCAGCCTCCGTTCTAGACTACAAATTCTTTTCAACAGAAGACTCCAGTTTCCATAAACTTCAACAGGCAGTTATCATATAAAAGAAAGCACAAATACGAGAAACCATAGCTGAGTCGAGAGGGATTACCGAAGATGAGAGAGAAGAGCATAAGAGAATATGTAGTGAAGGTTGCTACTGTGCTCGTCGCCGGGACAGCTTCACGCTGCGGTAACGGCGAAGGAGACGGGAGGCTGAAGAAACCGCCAGATCATGCGTGTCAGTCGCGAAGAAAGGCTAGACGAGAGTGTGGGACGATAAAAGAAAGAGCGCGAGTACGAGAGCCGAGAGTCTAGGTTTTTTTTTTTGGGGAGGAGAAGCACTTTCGTTTCCCCCTAAGAACTGGGCCTGAGCCTTGTTATTGGGCTTCACAGTAAGCTTTAGTTTGAAACAAATGAAGAAGGAAGCAGAAATTTGCTTTCAACTGAAATTATATAATTTTTTTTATGGATATATGTTCAGAATAAATTATTATATTTAATGGAATTCAACTGAATTATTTTTATCATAATAATTTTTTAAATACAATTTTTATTTTACATAAATATTTTATTTTGGACATCTAAATTAATCATATAAGCCTTATTCTTGTTTATATCTTCTAAAATACTCATGTATATATATAATTGTTTATGTAAAAGACTGACTTTTGTTCTTCCAAAAAAAAAAAAAAGAAAAGGAAACAGTTAATATATATATATATATATAATATAATAGCTGTGTATATAAATTGAAGTTGTTACATATATATATAGTTACATATATGTTCATATTATATAACAATACTGCAGGAAGGAAGAGTAATTTAAATCTATATTTGAGATCCGAATTCAGCCATATGTAGTGTTATTTTTCTGATTTTTTAGTCTTCCTTCTTAGAACTTGCATTTGTCTTAAAAATCAACTATTCCCTTATATAGCTCCTCCATCACTTCCTGATATTTTTATATGTTTTCTTTAAAAAATTATATTACAATTAGTATATAAATATATATATATATATATATATATATATATGAGGATGAATTGTAGTTAGAAATATCAGCTAGCCTAATTGTAAATCAATTGTATGCACATACCATCAAATTGTATGGTTTCCATTCCACATTTAATTTAAAAATCCCTATTTATTCAAAAGAATCTAAAAACAAAGATCTGAACCCCTATAATTTGCTAACTTAAAAACAACTCCATTTTATTCTTGGCAATGGAGAACCGAAGGACAAGAAGCTGCTATCTAGAGTATACCCTAAAGTACATCTCCTACCAGCTACTTCTCTGTCTCGGATAACTTTTCTGCTTAATCTTTCTCTCTTCATGTAGAAGGTGGAATCTCCCAGTTTCTTGGCAGAGGACCATAATCATATATGATTTCTCTATGGCAAGACCATACAACCTTTATTGCCTCCGGGGTTCCTATTCCAGCACCTCTAGGGTCACCAGCTGGTCCAAACCTGTCGAGTTCCATTATAATCAATATAAAAGTTAGCAACTCTGATCACCAAATGAATCAGAAAAGAGACAAGCTTCTCCACTAACCAGTGATTTTGTGGAGCTCCAGTCGTTCTTGCTCTCAGTCCAGCATAAGTTGTGCCATTCACCGATTTCCCTATAACTTCCTGCAAATAGATTTTGAGGCAAAGATAAGATATAATGTATTAGTTTCAGAGCCAGAGGCATCATTGGCATTCAACCACAAGCTGTATGTAGTTCGAGAAAATCTCAAAATGAAGGATCTGGAGCAAGGGCTACAGCTACCAGAATATTTGACTGTTGCAAGTAGGGGGAAAAACTAAATTTAGTGATATATGAAATGTTATTACAATCACAATAAACACAAAAGGCAGCAATTCAAAACTTAAGCCTTGTAGACAACTGACACTTGCCTGCAAAAAGATGGGATCATTTGACACCACAGCAGCAGTTAAATGCGCATGCATCCTTTCTAAGGCATCCAACACCATTGGGAGTTGATCATCTTTATACTCGGTTATAATCTAGAAGCAGATAAATAATGGTTGTCAGTACCAACTTTAGGATAAGTCATGGAAGATAAGTTCCTTCTTTCCCTGGATTTAACAACAGAAAGTACATTTTAAATAATCTTAAGCCCACAGATGAGCAGAGCTAAATTCTAATTTTCTCGAGTATATTAAAATGGTCAACTGGTTAAGCATCTAATTTAGGTACCCTCGTTGGTTTTAAAATTCAAGAAGCAAACACATGGCAGATGCTAACCCTACAAAATATCAGTAGCTAGAGCACCATTTTGCATGTTGGCTATCCAGATAGACCATTATTGTAAAAAACCATCAATGTATTGTTAACTGTTTTTATAACACTGGGATAACCAGAAAAGGGCAAGATACCAAAAAAAGAAAAACCAAGGTCTCTATAGCATAAGTTATATCCTCCTCAAATCTTCCACAAATAACAGGAATCTTATTCCTCCTCAACAAAACAAGAACAGGAATCTGAAAAATTATCCTATCGCCAATGTCTTCAGCTCCTTGCCAAATTACTTCTAAGAATTCTTCATTTCAGGGTCCCTTCAAGTCCAAGGAGGCATAAAATACATTAATTTAATAAATGGAACTTCTAGATGGCTAAGGATAACAATGGTCTAGGATTCTTATAAACGTTTATTTCCAAACCTCCTCTTCCCTTTTCCTCCCTCACACCCGATAAGAAGTTTGATAATTATCACTATAATACTTCATTAAAAAAAAATGTTTTACTAAGGTTTCTTTTTTACCTGGAATGGTCCAAAAATTTCTTTCATAACAAGCTCATAGTTGTTAACCTTCAAAATTTCTTCAAGAGGAATGTAAACAGCTGTAGGTTTAATAGCACCGTAGATAGAAGGAATAGAATGGTTCTCCAAAGGCTTGCCTCCAAATAGTAGCTTTGAACCCGGTATGTCAAGTAATTTTTCTGCGTGTTCCAACATTGCTCCAGTAGTAAACTGCAAACAGTAAAATACAAATAGAAAAATTAAAATATTAATAAGAATAAAATTTTGAAGTTACTAAATTTTGACAATAGACTCCTATAATATTTTACCTTTATCTTTAATAAAATTATAATTTCTAATTCATTTATGTAATCTAGAGCTTACCCATTCAGCATCAATGATAAGTTTTTGTCTTTCTTAAAAAAAAAACAAAAGAAACAAACAAGATTAACCGCATTGTCTAATCGATCAACATAGCTAATTGAGATACAATTTCTTTATAAGGACAGGTAAGCCTGAAACTTCCAACAACATCAAGGTAGTCTAGTTACTTCTCATATTGCTTTCCTTATTCAGCCTCCAACTAAAGGAGGTTAATTAAGTTATTCTAGTTTCAGTTGAACCAATTAAGTCTGTCTAAAGCGTTATTCCCCAATCAATTTGTCACATAAAAATACTAGCCATTACATTGATACTAGTTGATAAAAAATTTCATGAACACTTGAATTCATTCAAGTACTACAGAACCAGTAGTTGGGTCTGACCTTTGCAGGCAACTACCCTCATGTTTGCCAACTGGTATGAAAGAATGTTCAAAACTAGTACATTTCCAACTGCTATTTTTTAATGCCGAAATATATTGGAAATGACAATATGTTCGTTGGTATAGAAGGCTAAATTCAAGATATCACCAAATTCGCAAACTTACGGTAAGAACAGGACCAATTGTTAAATCTTCCAATTTTCTTCTTTCTGCAAGATCCTTCAATTTTGGTAAAAGGGTAGTTTTTGACCAATTCTGCATAAAGATAAAGATCCGTTATTAAAGGAAGAATAAGAAGAAACCAGTAGAAAACCAGGTTAAAATCAGATAACAAATGCAGATTAGACTTAAGATGCAAAGCATATTAAGGAGTGTTGACTTTAGTCCTCGGCAAATTTTAATATAGAACGCTGATGGTAGACGAAATAGTGGAAAACAAAAACAAAGCTGCTAACCTCATGCATGAATAATATTGATTGGGCAGAACATTTCTGACCACTGCATGCATATGCGTCCTGATCACATACCCATGCAACATAATCCACCTGCCAAGAGATCGAAACCAATAAGTAAAAAATTCCTTTGGAGCTAAGTAGAGAGAACAAAATAAGCTAAATCTGAAGTTAGATGATTATAAACCTCCTGAACATCAGGACCAAGGATTTTCCAATCAAATCCGGCATCTTCTAGTTTAATGCGACCCTTTAGGTCAACAGCCAATTTTTCTGCAACCCTTGAGCTACCAGTGAAAAGGGTCATCTGTGGATTTGCCTGTATAATGAGGACAACAATAAATTTCAATGTGAGTTGCATTCCTAAATCTGCATATGCTTACATACAGAACAATTAATCGATCACAAGTATCACAAAAGAGTTCGATATTTAACTCCAATAGTATTGAAGTTATCAATCTGAAGATATGCCCAGTTATTTAGTGAGTGTTAAACTCCACGGGACCTACACTACATAGAATCAGTGCTGCTGTAAATAGAAAACTAGGACAATTTCAATAGCCATTATCACCAACAAGAAATTCTCGTTTTCCTTTTTTCTTAATCTTGCCATGGCCTCAACCAAGAGGCTAAAAGCTTCATGGTGCCAACAATACTATAACCACCATTCAACTACCATATAATTTTTCAGTCACACACTGAAATTTAGATGAGGTAGTCAAATAATAGAGACACTTCAAGTGCATCCTCTATGACACTTTCAAGTGACACCACAAGGGAATATTAGCAGTTAAAATTGCTTCCTATCAGAAAAGTTAAAATAGCTTCCAAATCAACATTCACATTATTAGAACAATTTATGCTATTTAATTATGAGAAAAGTGAAAGGTATGAAACATTTACATCCCAAATGACCGACCTCCAATAGTAGTTTGTTCATTGTCTTCCCATCAGAATTTATGTAATCAACATCTTCCATGGGTAAGCCACAATAATGAAGCAATCTCATCATTTGCTCCATAACAATGCTCACCTACAAATCATTTTGGACATCAGTTAGTCTGCGTGGAAGAGGATAAAATAGACACCTGAAAAAATAAAGAGAACCAGATTTAAGTTGCCAACACGTTGACCAAACTAACATACATACATTTCTCTATCAATTGCATTTTAAAAATACTATTTTGAAACAAATTATATTATTCTTCTCCGAGAGAACTTCTCTAGTTACTCCGGTAGAACCAATATTATGTAGTAATCAACATGTTTAGAGAGCCAAAGCTTCTAAACGCTTATTTCAGAAAAAGGTTTTTCTGTTAACATACCTTACTGTCAACTTTGAGAAGAGGCTTGTTGCCCATATAAAGTGCACCCATCAACTGAAGGACAGGAATCTCCAGTGGGAAATTAAAGGGAGTAACAATTGCAACCTGTGCAACAATTATTGTAAATAAGAACACTAGAAATAACATAGAAGTGTCAGGTCTGTACTTACCTATGTAAATAGATGCTACTTCCCCAAAAAAAACATAGGATTTGACTTGTATTAATTAGATCTGAATGATACAACACTATGTATTAGTATTTAAAACTACTACTCATAAATCATTTTGTTGATCAACCAATCCAAGGGAAAGAACTGGTGGGCTTTCTAAAGCATTATTTTTTAGCCACATGCCTCAGGACAATGCTGTCACTTTTTAACAGTATGTACTCCTGCCATTTTCTAACAGCAATTTTTTCTTTTTTCTTTTCAGTTTCCTCAGATGATCATTAGAAGCCTAAGTAATCAAACATTCTTTCTAAAGGACTGGTGGGCTTTCAAAAGCATTATTTGTTAGCCACATGCCTCAGAAAATGCTGCCACTTTTTAACAGTATGTTCTCCTGCCATTTTCTAGCGGCAATTTTTTTCTTTTTCTTTTCAGTTTTCTCAGATGGTCATTAGAGGCTTAAGTAATCAGACATTCTTTGTCAAGGACTCCACAGATTAATTTTTCCATGTTACTAGATACCAATCTTATCAGGTAACAAATCAGAAAACCTATTCTGTTACATGAGAGGTTCTGACTTCCCGTAGTATCAAAAATGTTTAAAAAAATGTCTTACAGGACCATAGGGCCAACGGTAACCATGACTTTGTTGTCCGAGATGATTTCCAGGTACAGAAAATGAGCGTGCCAAGAAACGGACCTGATGGATTCAGAAAAGAGTTTATTAGAAGACAGAACTTGATTTAGCAAAATTATTAGACAGTTCATTCCTGAATAATGTCCATCTGATGCAGAAATTAAATTTCAACTCTTTAGGTATAGAATGCTTTCTTAAAATATTGGAAAAACTTCCTATTAATGCAAAACAATATTTCATGAAGGGACTCAATCAATATTACATTCATCCAAATCAGAACATCAACAATCAGAAAATTACAGACTCCCTTTTTTCCTTTCTATTTTATTCCTAAAGTCTTGACTGGCAAACCCAAAAATGTCCAAATAGCGCTTAATCTTGATGTACCTGGTCACCGGAAAAATTCTCAAGAAATTTTTGTGTTACATAAACTTCACCAAAAGCCTGCTGGTAACTTTTTGGGGCTACCCTCTGTATTAATCTTGAGAAGAAATCAGACACCTGAAATCATGTGAGTTACACTATTTACTTTCATATCAAAAATCTAAATAGCCAATAACTAAGTGCTTATGCATGTCTAAGTTCAATTATATGCTACCTTTGGCAAAGAAAGCATTCGGGCTGCCTTTGCAGTTATATCTCCATATAAAAGATACCTGCATAAAAAAGGCCAATTATTTGTATTTTAATTGCGAACCGAATAAAATGTTAAAGGAGAAAATCTTTTGTATGAGAAATTGTTGATGAAAAAATCATTACATACCATCCCAATTAAGTAACTGATAGACAAAAAGAAATGCAGATCAGAAATAATATAAAAGTTGTCCAGAAGAACAGAGGGATAATTAGGAAGGATAATCAATACTGACCTTTCTGGTGATTTGAAGGGATTGTGTAAACCATGTTTTGAGCATTTAGACAAGCTCTCCACAAATGGCTTCAAGTCAAACAATAAGATTGATTAGAAGAACTCAGCAACATAAGACATCAGAGCATTGAAAATTGTACATGGACAGAAGTGATAAGGGACCGCATTAGAACAGATTCAGGATGAAGACAACAGCCTAGGCATACACGTCTGCTTCAACAGTGAAGAGATGGGGAACAATTAAAACTGAAAGGCATACAATTTTATCATGGTATTCAAATGCTGTACCTTAATTTCAGTTTCATCTACTTCTGCGATCTTAATAAATGATTCACCATTCAAAGGATCCAAAATCGTATTCCAATTTGAAGATCCCGTCCATTTACCCTGCACTAAATTAGACTTCTTGTGTTCAAATTAGTTGGTTAATTTAGACTCTAGGGGTAACAAGAGCTAAACATGAGCTAGAAAATACAAGTATGCACAAATTTATTCAAGCTAGTAACTTAATTAAATCAACTTTTGATTTTATTAAAAAGAGCTATCCAAAAATTGTAGCATTCAAAATCATTAGTTCAGAAAATAAAATTTAAATTTTGGAGAGATGAATTTACAAAGAAAATTACAATACTCATTTATCCTGAACATAAACTTGGTTCATAACTTCAATTTTAGTTCTGCTCGAAACTCAGGGTTCCTATAACCAATTTACTGCTATAAAGAATACCTACCTAGGTTCAGTACTTTAGCAGGTTGAGACTGTGATATCTCCTCAACGTCGACTGTTGCAAAAGGTAAAGAATGACTAGATCTGCTACAAATAAAAGATATTAGAAAATGTTTTTTTAAAAAAAGAACCTTTAGAGAAAGATTACTATATACAGGAAAAGAAGGTTTTGAAACCAATAAATATTTGTTAACCAATCATCCCAGGACTGAACCCGAATATCAAATGTTCATAGCACAAACAAAGCCGCAATAATTCATTGATCAAAATACTGCAATAACTACTTTTAACACATTTTTTAACAAAATTGAAAACAAAATTCCCGGAAAAATCAAGTATCTTGGAGGAGGAGCACAGAACAAGGTCAATTAATTGTCTTAAAGCAACACCAGCTTTACTGTAGCAAACAATAGAATGTGCAACGTTAAAGATGAACCTCAATGAGAATCACTCAACCAAATAGGATAATCAAACAATTTGTGTCCGCTAGAAAACCCTTCTATCCGAATTGTGATCAGTAAAAGATGACACTTTTATCTGTGAAATTCAGTACAATTCTTTGCATAATCCAGATGATCAACAAAGAATCTGAAAAACCAGAAAGCGCATAATTCTCGAAAACCATCAGAAATCCAGATTAAAAATAATCAACCCAATCAAACTAAATCCAGATAAAAAGTGATCGACCAAAATAAACTAGCAGACCTTGACAAGTTGAGAGCAGAGGTGAAAGACTTTAAGATATTTCTTGAAGGCCTGGTTCTGCATGCGAATACCCTCTGCATTGCCTCTGATAAAGTAGCTTCTCCGATATCTCACTTTGAAGAGTAAGCACAGGGGTTTTAGATGAAAAGGGGAAGAAGCTGGAGCAGAGTACAGGAAATGTTTGTAAAACCCTACTTAATATATTATAACCTCTATAAATAAAAATAAATTTAAAAATTTTACATGTCAATTAATTACTTTTTGAAATATTTTTTATTTAATATAATCCTATATTTTGTGTATATATATATGCGTATATCGGTAATAGATTGAGCCACGTCATTAAAAAATATTAATTATTTTCATAATTAATAAATACATACTTAATTAATTAATTCTATAGTTTAATACATGCATGATTAAAAAATTTAGTATAGAATCATTTAATATTACATTTTAAATGCATTATATTAAATTAAATCATCAAATAATATTACATCATATTGCTTTAAATATTAAATATTTATGAAATTAATTCAATACACGGATTTCTATTAACTATTTATACTATTAGTATACATGCATGTATTAACTATTAATTTAATATATAATTGTGCATTAAACCATATTAGTGTATTTCTAGTACTAAATCCATGTATATTAATTTAATAAATATGTAGAATATATTTACACTTCACTCGTATTTAAACCATTATCTTCATTATTTTTGTGATATTTTTCTTATTAGTTCGTCAACAAATAATTAAGTCATTTACAAAGTAAATATGATTTATGATTGGTGCACGCCGAGTTATTTTAATACTGTAAATAAATTTCTTCAATTCAACTTTGTTAAGAAGTTGGAATATAATTTTTCTCTAAAGAATGAAAGCATAAGAGAACATATGGTCCCCTTGTCTTAATCCTCTTTTAAACTTATCTCCCTTACGAAGAATTCCATTTTGTAAAGAATTAAATAAAAGTAGTAGACACAGTGTATAATCGACATTAGATTGACCTAAAATAAACTGGGTTATTAGTATCAGTTGCACGATTAGATAATTTATTTTTTAATAGTCATCTCTCTCTCTTTCTTAAGATAATTACTCGACAAATTCGATATTTTTATGGTATCTGTCTCTAACCATCTTATAAAATTGCAGTAAAAAATTGATTGGTGTTGAAATATTTTTAATTCTTCTAAATGAGTAAAACGTGATTAAGGACAAAAATATATATATAAAAAAATGAGAAACAAAAATAACAATGATAAATGAAGTATTGAGACTAGGTATCTGTATATAAATAAAATCAGTAGTTAATTTAATTTCATTAGATTAATTCCTAATTAAGTAGAAAATTTTCTGTTTATTTCACATTTTTTTTTAAATATAATTGAGTACATACAATTATTTCATGTCGATATATGCTTTTGTAATCAAAAGATTAACCAATTTAATTAAGATAATTACTTTTTTAAATTCAAAATTAAGTCATGAAATACAGAAGTCATTATAAAAAGAACAAAATGAGGTCAAACTTCTCAATTTAGTTCTCATTCAACAAGTAAAAAAAATGTTGAAAATTGAAAGATCTCCTCCAATATGGCAGACATATATATATATATATATGTATATGTATATGCATGTATATATATATATATATATATATATATATATATATATATTGAAAATATGGAGTCAAGTTGACTCTTTCACCATTTCTCATGGCCTTATACTCTCTGATCTGTCTATATGCATAAAGGGCTGCTAAGCATATGACTTTTTTCTATAATTAGGCTAAAAAAAAAGTAGCTCTTGTCGGATCCAGGATGTCAACAATACTGAATTATTGAAAAAATAAATTTCAATTCTTACATAAGAAAACTGAATTACGTACATGCAAATATTAATTAATTAACTAAGGGGATTAGGTTTATATTTAAAAATATACTTTAGATTCTACAGTGGTCTGTTTCTATGCTCTATTTAGGTGGCTTGTAATGCCATTGATGAAACTGCGTATACATTTACACACACACACATATATATTTATATAATTACCTTTTCTATATATACATAAATACAAAGTCAAAATGTTTATAAGAGTTTGATTCATAAGTAAGAAGACACG